ATTCATATTGAATAATTTCCCATTTGTATTGTATGCTTTTCAATTTGCTTTGTAAAATTATTCAATACAAATGAAAATTAATAGAATACAAATGGAAAATTATAAAATACAAATAAACATTATACAATACAAATAGAAAATTATACAATACAAATGGAAAAAACTATATAATAGAAGTGGAAAATTATGCAATATGAATGGAAAAGATCGAATATTGCAACGTTTGGCATGCCATAGTATACATTTAAATTTATTTTACCAGTTTGGTCGGAGTTACCTATTAATGTTTGTTCAATAATTACAGCGTATAGATGATTTTCGTATGTCGTATATTTCTCTTAGCTGTCATGATGGAGGTCACCTGAAGAATGTTAGTCTTTGATTTACAAAATCCAAACATGTGTGGCAGATATATTTGAGGGGAGGGAAAATTTTTATATAAAAGAATGATTTCTGGGAGGCATAAACAAACGTATATTCTTCAGAGAAACAATGTTTACTTTAACACAATGGTCTGTATGAAATATTAATAAAGAGACATGTGCATTATGACATCCAGAATAGTAACCAACGGAAAATAACTCTTGCTTAATTTGTGTCTATCAAAAACTATTCATACGGTTATATAGATAAACCTACATGTATTTACTGGTTATGAGGACAATAGCAGGTTTATTGTCCCCCAAAACAGCAACTATATCTCGAGACAAATTAGGTTTGAAGATATTTATGTGATTGCGAATTTCTAAATATAATGCTTGTAAATTATTAAAATATTCCTGATCTGCAGCGAAATAGATATTAGTAGATGATACAATGAAATGAGAGACAACGGACAGTGATTATGCTAAAAAGTCTACTTATACAGTATAAATTGTCAGCAGAGCCAGCACCGACTACTGAAAACAGAGGTGGAATCAGGTGCCAAGGAGGAGTAAGCATCCCGCATGATCGGCTGTCTCCTTTTAGAAATTGTTCGTACGTATAGCATACTCTTGTGTATCGAAACAAATGGGAGACATAAACTCAATATGCAGGTGATAACGGTATATTTCTACATAAGTAAGGGAAGCCGATGATAGAAATTTAAAGCCATCTTGTTAAATAAAATGTTTAGTTGCTAGTTGGACATCGATAACTTTTTCTAGTATAATCTCCAAATAAGAAGCAAATTTGTCCGACTCTGTGGTATCTTTTATTTCAAGTTTAATGGGATAAATCGAATGAACATAGGGACGAAACTGAATATTGTTCATTGATAAAACAATATGTCCAATTGCAGGCCAAGGAAAGAAACTTCCTCTTTTAATGTAGAAGTTTTTGAATAGAATCTGTTTGATAAGAAAAAAAGTACATGTACTTGTGTATAAAATCATACTGTTTCTATCAAATATAATATTATAGGAATGACTCTAATTCTTGGCCAAATTATTCGAGTAAAACCTGGTTTGGGTCAGTTTACGCTTTATAATCCGCGAAGCGGATTATAAAATAGCGTAAACTGACCCAAACCAGGCTATACTCGAATAATTTGGCCAAGAATTAGAGTCATTCCTTATATTTTAATTTTAAAATCATTACATAACTATGGGTGTAAAATTTCGTTGCTTTTTATTAGTTCAAATTTGCCGCTCAATAATACAACCGTAGTAATGGAAGTGATGGGAAGCGAGGGGAGGTAAAAACTGATACATAGGCCTAGCAGCCTTGTTGTTTGTTTACATGTGGTAAGATCGAAATATTGTTTGAATTTAAAGGTACATTTATTAAATCTGGAATTTTCCATGAATCTCGAGGATTGGAAATGAGATGATTGTATGGATACAGTTGATTCAGCTGGTTGTCAGGGGGATGTGTCCCCATACCAAACCAGGTTATACAGAAATAATTTATGTTCTTTTTTGGATATTAACCAATCAGAGGCTAGAATACAAACGAAATTAAATTATATAAATATATAAAATAAGTTTACAGATTACCTGCGATAAGGTAATATGCAAATTTATGAGTTTCATTTTTATTGAAGAAGCTGTTCATTATATCAAAAGTGTGTTCTAAAATTTATCATGAGGAATGGTTGTAGAATGTGTTGAAAAGCCGCATGGTTTGATGAATAGAATTCAACATAACAGATGCCACATGCATGTAAATGCACTTTATGTTTTGGTACGTTTCAAGTACAATGCTTTCTAAACAATCTGATAACGATTATCGAGGGAGAGGGGGACTCAGCCCTCAACCAAAACATCCTTAATAATCTTCCCTCATTGCTCCTGTTCGAAGGGAGCAGATCAAGTACATGTATCAACAACATCATTTTAACATCAACTTCAGAGTACTTTGTGTACAATCAGAATATTTTTCAACAAAATAATTTTTAAATGACCGACGACAAGGTAACTAAATTTACGAATTCCATTTTTATTGAAAAACCAGCTGTCAATGATGTCAAAAAACCTGGACTGTAATTTCTCATGGGGAATGGTTGTATACAGTGTTGAAAAGTCGTAAGTTTTTTTTTGTTATTGATTTTGGTAAAATCTTGTGACTTCAAATTTTCCAAAAGTTCCTTGGAATTTTTAAATATCCATATCTGATTTACACCACTTCTCGAATATAGTGTTGAACAGTTCTCCTGAAGTTTCTCCTTCGCCGCTGTTGATATTTTAGTGAGGAGTAAAGAAAGAGGCTTGGTAGAAAATTTACTAACCAGCTATGTACACTGTATCTTTGTTTGTAAGGAATTTTATAAAGTTTCGGAATCCAATATAAATATGGTAATTAAAATTCATTTTGGTTGTTGGGAATATTAAAAAATATTCTAAACTGTCATCTGATTTTGAAGAATTTCCTCCTTAGAAAGGGAGCTTTGATGTTTTGTAGTTGGATATGGAATTGATCTCACTTGTGAGACAGGAATTTTTTATATTTTCACTCGTGATTCGCAATCAATAATATCAAAAAATCCTGTCCCACTCGTGAAATAAATTCAATATCCAACTAAAAAACATTGAACATCCTTTACTTATTATAAGATCTAAAAAGAATCACTTTTTAAAGCTTTGAATGCTAACGACGCATTTGATATTGAGCAGTTTGATTTTTAAAGAAATGCCGTTTATATTTTTTACAGGCATATCAAAAGAAAGATAACTCAGAGATTCTTTTTAAACCGATCTAGTTTAAGTTTTGCATTTAATCGAAGTTTTCGAATTAAATACTTAATTTAATTTTATAAATGCTTATTTTTAAAATAAATATACGTCCTAAAGCAACGAGTGAAAAACTTATGCTGTATACAACAGGGTAGAAGATATTTGTGTCTACCGAATTGTCTTATTCAGACTCTATAACAGATATTATAAGGTTCAAACAGATGATAATAATATTATTTCTATGTATATAGAAAAAAGTCAACATCAAACTTTTGTCAGTTAGGAATTATTTATTAGTACATGTATGTGCTGAGTGTTATTCTGGCATAATTTGGGAGTCGCCAATCTTCAGCACAATATAGGCAGACCTATCAGAATCAACAAATAACACATCAATCACATATACATTCAACAAATATAATCTGACTATCACTATCCGGCTACAAAATTAATCTAAGTTTATGTCTCCATGTCAAAATAATTAAAACAGTGCACATCTTTTGAAAAAAATCATTCAAATCCTTGACATGCGAATTGCAACTTATTGCCTTTTTTGATACCCTATTTCTTAAAGGTTTTGATGTTACATTCTTTTCAAACACTATGGAGAATAGATCCTATTTGGGGGTTGGGTGGGATGGGAGTTTTACACTTAAAATATCTAGACTATTCGCTACAATTTGATTTAATTAATTAAGGACACTCCCTTCTTTAAAAAAGAAATTTGATTCATATCATTCGAAATGTCAACAACTTCATCTCATTGTAGATGCTTATGTTCCTGTGATCTGATACATAAAAAAGATTCTACCCTTTCCTTTTAAAAGAAGCAGGAAATTTTTCCTTTCAATTTTAAAAATGTATATTAGAAATAACACTCCTTTCTCTACATTTAATAGTTGTTATTTCGACAGACTCCTACTTAACTTTTTAAAAGTGACTGTTACTTCGTCAAACTTGGGGGGATTGGCAAAGTCTTTTGTCGCTTGTCCTTTGTCGATTCTCTAGCTAATACATGTAAGTACTAGACAAGTCGAAGACATTATAATTACTAATAATAGACTTTAGCCTCAATATGTTTGTTATGAATATATACTGGTATAATTGTAGAATGTGGTGAAGAAAGATGATTCATTAGTAAGTTTCACTTTTAATTTCCTTGGAAAAAAGGAACTCGTTTACACCAACTGGATGCACTGCGAGGGTCTACAGCTAGAAGAAATGTTTTTAATTTATTTCATGGCCAGATGTAGTTTTCCCCAGGTTTGGCAAATTATTATATGATATTATTAATTGTGCAAAGCTAGCAGGAGACATTATAATATCAGTGGCGACATATCTACGGGATGGCGTTGGTGTAAATGTAAGGGTTAGAATGTTACTTAGGGTTTTCTACGGGATATAGAAGTCGAGCGATAGCGAGACTTCTATGTCCTGTAGAAAACCCTAGTTAACATTCTAACGCGCTTAAAGGACAAGGTTTACTCGAGACAAAACCAGTAAATCAGTGTCAAATTAATCAGCATCTATGATGCCAGTTTCTGATTCATACAGAATTGGGGTTTACCAGTCATTCTATCACAATGTCTGAACAGGATAACAGTTATTCAGACCTCATTGGCATTGCAAATTTTTCTTTATTTGATGGAGATGACTTTGATGTTGATATAATTCCTACACAGGAGTTATTTTTTAAAAGAGAACAGAATGATAGATATGCTGCACCAATATCTAGAGAAGATTTGCAGAAGAAATTCATAGAAAGTGTTCCTAAAAAAACTAGAGAAAATAATAGATGGGCTGTTAAACTTTGGAAGGACTGATCGCTGCACAGAAATACATTACCTGAAACCTACATGGAGAATCCATCTTTTTTCCCAATACCTGTTGAAATTTCAACATCAACTGTTGCAGAACTTCAGTTCTGGATGCCGCGTTTCATCAATGAAATCAGAAGAAAAGACGGTACCGACTACCCACCAAATACCCTTACGAATATTGCGGCAGGGATTTAGCGTTATTTAAGAGAAGAATGTAATCGTCCTACTGTTAATTTTCTAAAGAAAGATGACCCCACCTTTGATTTGTTTAGGAAAAGTTTAGATTCCAGGACGAAAGAATTAACCAATATGGGTGTTGGAACAAAAGTGAACCGAGCAGATCCTGTTCTATTACAAGATGAAGAACAGCTATGGAATTCTGGGGTTTTGAACCAAAATACCGCCCAAGGACTTTCTAACTGTGTATTTTTCTACATCTGCAAACTTTTTGCATTCAGAGCAAATGATGAACACAGAAATTTGGATGTCTCTCAGTTTTCAATTAATTATGATCATGAATCTGGTTTGAAATACTTAGAGTTTAAAGGAAGATCGTGTAAAAATGTTCAAGGAGGTCTAAAGCACAAAAAGGTTGAAACCAAAAATATTAATCATTTTGAACAGCCTGAAAACAAGCGTTGTATGGTTAAAATTTATGAAAAATATCTAGGTTTGATTCCTTATTTCGGTGCATTCTACAGAAGACCTATGGAAGGAAATGTTCTTAAATTTAGTTCACAAGTTATTGGTGAAAAGAAATTGGGTGGAATGATGAAAAATCTTTTTTCGGAGGCTGGAATTGATACAAGTGGAAGAAAAATTACAAATCATTCCGGAAAAGTAGGCTGCTGTACCTCATTATTTAACAGCGGATGTGATGACCAAACTGTTCGATCAAGAAGCGGTCACAGGAGTTCCGCAGTTGAAATATACAAACGGCCATTAAAAGACCTCCAACTTAAAGTGTCTAATGCCTTAAATGCACCAATGGTGAAAGATGACAGTGATAAGGAAAACTCTGATCAGAAAATTAAAAGTAAGGAAACAATTAGTGACAGTAATTCCAGTACAGTCTTCACATTAATTGTTCCTAATGAAATTGAAACACTTGTAATTGAAAAAAATGGAAAGAAAATCAAGCTATCATTGTAATTGTAATAATTCTAATTGCTGTACCTATCTGTAATTTTATGTTTTGTTTTGTTTTTTTAGATAAAAAATTGTGTACATTTCAGGAAAAATTCTCATTATTTTTTTGTGATTCCTCTCGACCAATCATAGCCTTGAATTCATTGACTCTACATTCCATTGAAATGGTAAACCACGCCTCTGCTCCAAATAGGTCACCATTTCTATGGAACTTAGAGTCAGTGAATTCAGGGCTATGATTGGTCGAGAAGTAAAGCTTGTCCTCTAAGTTGTGATAATCGACGACAATTGTTCAGACGTTTGCCCTTTATATCTTTCTAGGGCTTCAATAATCAACAATGAAGTAGTTAAAAAAAGTCAGGTCAATGTCTGAGATTAAATTCTGGTGCAACAGCGAATGATGGAAGGATTTTAGTTATTTGAGTCCAAATGATGAACAACCCTTCTGCATCCGAACACTGTCAGCCAGTGTGGAATATCTTTAGAAGCAAAAGAAACAGAAAATAATGTCATTCAAATGTATAAATGGTTAAGATAAACATAATATTTTTGCACTTAAAGATTTGATATAGAATTGATAGAGTATATCAACATATGTTCATTATGAGATTGCTTAATTATGGCATACCCTACTACCATAATACTGTCTTAGAAAATGAATTCATTTCATATACATTAATATTTTTACTGATATCCTTTATTGCAAGGATATACCACTCTGGCTTCTGTCTATGAAAATAATGCGAGGATTTGCAAACTCCAAAGTTGCACAATATTTGCTTTCCTTTATGATACAAAGAACTATTGCTCTTTCTTTTGTGAACTATATTATATCCATTTAACAAACAGCATCGACTATGATCTGCTTAAATGACCGTTGTCCGTATAGTAATTTCTTTTTGTGTAATATAAAAATTACAAGATAATTAAAATTATAGTAAAGATCAAAAGGCATAAAAGTACTCCTTGTTACCTTCTTTGGATTGTGTTATCCATGCATGTTCTTATTTGTTCAGAGTCGCTGTCATTTTTTTTCTATAAATATTTAATTGGTTCAGAATATTTAGTGACTTTTGAGACAGTGTAATCCAGCAGATATCATATACTTTATGCAGGGGAATTTTCGCCACCTTTTATTGTAGATCCTTTCACGCTTTCGAACGGGAATTTAAAACGGGTGAATTCATAGTAAACAACATTATTTCTATAACACAACTGTGTCTGAACAAATTTTAACTTTTTTTTTTTTGCAAATGAAAAAGTGAAAATAATAGGGCGAAAATACATGTAACCCTATATACAGTATTTGGTAGAGCAGCTACATGTATACATTGTTGAAGTTAAACATCTGGCACAGAGAATATTAGTATTTTCTTAAAGGGTAAGAGTTACCTGTAGTGTTTATTAACTTGTATAGAGTAACTACTAGTATAGGGTTTATTAGTTACTCAAGGTGTTAGACAGGAGCGTGTGGGTCAGAGAGCTTGGCCCGACACTACATATTAATTAAGGTCAATGAATCCAGTATTCATTGAACTCAAACTTGCATATGTTTATCTGTGACGTTCAATGAACATAAAAAAAATAAATGCTAACGTTGACGAATACTGACTTGAAAAGTTACTTAAATGATGTTAAACGTCAAAACCTAGTCACATTGTAGTTTCTCAAATTTTATTAAAAGTAGAAAATATAATTTAAGGGATGATTGACGGAGTATTGATTATATAAGATGTGCTACTACTTCTCTCATCTAATTTTATATAATTAAATTTATTTAATTTTACAAATGTAAGTCGCTGTTGCGATTTATTTCTATTTTTTGATTGCATGGATTTACTTTAGGTATTTTCAAAAGAAGAATATAATAAAATATCACATTTAAAATAAAGTATATTAAGTCTCATCAAGTTAACATTTTTTTTTTGAGAACTTCGAGTCAAATGGATGTGAAAGAAAAAAAAGTTCTTAAAAGTTTTGGAATATGCATAGGTATTTTGTTCTTTTCAATCAATCAATCAATCTATCTATCTATCTATCTATCTATCTATCTATCTATCTATCTATCTATCTATATATATATATATATATATATATATATATATATATATATATATATATATATATATATATATATATATATATATATATATATATAGTAGTTGACAAAAAAGTGAGCAAATTTCATGATAATTAATTAAATTTAGACGGTTCGTCAGACGTTCTTGCTGATTTATCTTGATACTGTTATTTCCTTTGAGTTTTAAGTTTAAATAGAATGAAATCTCTTTAACGGTTTTTTAAGGTAAGGTGTCTTTTGGAAATAAGGAAAAAAACTTAAAGGTATAATTTATTTTTTACAGGTATAATATCATCAAATCATTAAAAATTTATCAATTACGTTTTAAAAGACGTCAAGCGTCTATGCGCTTGCCTTATCAAACATTGGTTCTCAATTGAATCATTGAATTTCTGACATGTGATAGTTAAATGTCGATGTGTTGAACATGAAGAGAACAATTTTGATATTTAAACCATATACTTTGGATAACATGAGCACTGTCTCAGAATTTCATGCTTACTGCTTGTACTTCAAAAAATCAAACTATTTTTTAAAAAGTTGAATTTATCAAAAATGCAAAGATAGTAAAATATTTTCATACGACATACCCAAGAGCAGAGAATAACTCATATCGGACAAGATGTCTTCAATAAGTTGTATTTTAGCTCAAGGCAATGGGGGTAATCTCTCAAGGTGTTTTTATGAAATAATTTTGCTTGGAGATAATTATGCAAAGTGCAATAAGCCAAAATTAAGATTGGGTATAATTCGAGTTAAGATACTGCATCAGAATTTTTTCGACGTTCCCAACAAAGTTTTGTTCCAATATACTAGAAACATCAGTGTTATGTTTGCCCTGTAGGTCAGGTGCAGGCGAACTGAATTTTTTATGAATTCTAGAATGTTATAATGTTGCAACTGGATTTACCTAAACAGATAAAATAAATCGTTCAATCATTGAAAAAAATTAATGATCCACTCTGTCAATAACTTAAAAGGTTGAAATGTATTTCATTTCTTAACTTAATTAAGAGTTCCTTTTCTGCAAATAAATAAAAGAATAATTCTCAATATTTATATGGAAGGGACAAATCGACCCTGTGTTCTATAAAGATTAAGCTTAATTTCTAAGGCAGGTCGTAGGATTCGAATTTCTGTCTTTTACGAAAGCTATCTTTATCAACAATATTTGTAATGAATAAATTTAATGTATTCTTTAAAATTACACATTTAATTGAAATAATGGCGTTCTTTAACTATTTTTATTTTTTTAATAGAAAACTCAAATATCTTAGGTGAACAGAAATTTATTTTCGGTATTTTTTTTCTTAAAGACTATATGTTGAACGACTGAAAATTTTTCATTTCTTTAAATGTAAAAATCATCATGATTCATTGGATTGTGGAAATTATAAGGATTAATCTTTGTTTTATTATAGGCAGTACTGAAAATAAATCATGCGTGGGGATTTGATGATGATGGTTCTCAATTCCACACACCCATAACACACAAACACACTTACTATGCCCGTCGAACATCCCTCTTTCTTCCATTTACGTAAATATTAAGTTAAATCCATGAAAAGGTCAATAACATAATCATACCAAAGTTTCATAGAGAAATGTCATCTTGTGGGTTATTGGGTTACTGGGTTGTTGGCCTAAATTTTAGACGATGTGAAATGAGTTCATATGACGTACACTTATAAAGTTAAACTAGTGAATGACTTTCAATTTAAGATTTTCTTATTTTTCGTTCTATTGGAATACAGTAGATTGAAAAAGTGCGTAGCTGAAGTGAAGACATAATCACATAATAATATGTATTATTAAAAAAA